CCGAAATGTCCCAGATTATGTGCATCACGTAATAGTTTATGTCTGTTTTCAATCGGTGGAGCGATATAGTCGGTAGGATTTGTTTTGTACTGTGGAGAGTCTATTTTCACGGCTAATACATTAAGGTTTGCGTCTGTGCTCTTAATGCTTCGTTTGTAAATAAACTTATCTGTCGATGTGATTTTATCGGTAGATTTAAAACTTTCAACGGGATTTCGTTTTCTTCTTTCCAAAATAATTCGATTCAATTGTTTGATCTTTTTATCTTCTTCTTCAAGTTCTTTATCATCATCTAAAGGTGGATATAGTCTGCTGAGCAGGTCAGGCAAGACGTTATCAATTCCTTTGATGTAGGTGACTGTGAATGAAAATTGATTTAAAACATCCATATAAGATTGAATTGTTCGATTTGGAACGTGCGTGGTATAATAAAATGTAATAGCACGGTGATCGGTCCAGACTTCTATTTTTGGATGACCCAGTAATAAGGATCGAAATCTTTGGAATCCGTAATAAATGGCAAATAGTTCTCGTCGATTGACTGACCAGTTTTGAGCCGATGTAGGTAAAGATGTACTTGCCATAGCGATGATGATGGTTCTATTCTTATCATCACGTTGAGTTAAAACGGCAGATGCAGCATATTGCGAGGCATCTGTTTCAAGATACATTTTATTTTCCATACGAGGTGTGTGTAACACAGCTTTAGACAGTAGTATTTGCTTGATATTATTTAGACGATCAGTATGAAATTGTGTCCATTTGTTTTTCACATCTTTATCATTTCGCAATTTATCTAAAGGAGCAGCTATGTCAGATATCTTTGGTACGTAATTTCTCAAATATGAGACGACACCCATGATTTTTCTGACTTGTTCAGCTGATTTAGGAATAGGCCATTCGTGGATATTAGACAGTCTACGTTGATCAATTTTTGTGATGCCAGGTCCAATAACGAACCCGAGCATGTAGATACTGGTTTTAAAGAATGTGCATTTAGCGTAATTAATTTTTAGATTAGCAGCAGTTAATTTATCGATTGCTCTCTTTACAATGCTGGCATGATTCTTAGCATCAGAGAATATACAACAATCATCAACATACGTGGCTATTTGTGCTTCACCATTAAAAATGATATTCATAACGCGGCAAAATTGACTAGTGACAAATTTGAGACCGAAACAAGTTCCTACCCATTTATAGGTTTTATCATCAAACATAAAAGATAGTACTTCTTGACTGGCTTCATCCACTTTGAAGCTATTGTATGCAGACTTTAAATCAAGCCGACTAAATACAACTCCAGTAGATACCTTGTCAAAAATATCTTGGATATTAGGGACAGCAAAATCTTCTACCAACGAATCATCTATGTTCATGTTTTGTCTTCTGAGATCAAGACAGATTCTTGTATTGGTAAGATTGTTATTTTCATCCTTTTTTCCAATGGCTAATAATGGTGAATTAAATTTGTTACTTGGCTTACTCTCTACTACAACCCCTGAACTTAACCATTCGGCTAATTGTTTCTTTATTTCAGGTCGAGCATGATAAGGTAACGGGTACTGACGGATGTAACAGTTTGTGGCATCCTTCTTTATAGGTATTCTAACGATACTTTCAGGAATATTGCAAAACTGACCCGGTTTAATTTCAGCGTTTCTTTTTACAGAAGGTTCAATAAAATTCATAAATTGTTCTCTTTCAATCGCTGTGCCAAATTCAGCATTTTCAGGATCATATTTATCCGAAGGATCATAGTTAGCGTTTTCGAATTGAATATCTTCAGATTCTTCATCATCTGGATATTTATGTGCTACATTAGTTAAACCAATATTTAAATGAGTTAGGATATCTGTGCCTAACAATATGTCATATTCTGTATCAAGTGGATCTAAAAATTCAACCACTTCAAAACAAAATTCAAAACTTATATCATTAAGATATCTAACTTTCATAGGTTCAGTTTGACCGATTCTTTTAGCAGAGTTAGAGAGGAAATTTAAATTGCCTTTTGTAATATTTATTTTTATTTGAGGAAAGAGATTATTTAAAATGTATTTATTGATACATGTGGTGTCACTTCCTGTGTCTACTTTTCCTTTCAGTTTTCTATTATTAAGAATGAGAGGAGTGATTAATGATTTGTAAGGATTGAATACATTTTCATTTGCTTTCTTACATTCATAACTGTCATTTTCAAAGTTGTTGGATGGGCCGCCACGATCGGGCTTCTTTCCCTTACGATCTTTGTTGACAGAGAGGATTTTCTTATCACCAAATTTATCAAGATATTCTTGACAACGATGTCCGTGAGACCATTTCTTACCACAGTGGGTCCAGGGGACAAAAGAGGTAGCAGGCTTGGGTCGGTTCTGACTTCCAAGGAATTTTCGTTGATGACTGGGGCCATCGAAGGTGCGAGAGGTGTCATCGGTAGACTTACCTGCATACTTGCAAGTGGATTCATCATGGGAGTTGTTATCTCCGTGATACTTACAGTAAAATTTAGCATCGTGGTTCGTACGTTTTTTAGGCGCACGATTGGCATCAGACGTGTCGTACGACTTACGCTTGTGTCCAGAGGAACTGCCATCATTATTGGGCGTTTTATCCCCAAATACATTAGTTGCAGCCTTATACACATCTTCGGCTGTCCAGGGGACATTTTCCACTTGGTGTGAATTTACAACTGTCATTACGTTAGTTTGCCAATGAGCAGGCAAGGCAAGGAAGTACAAGTCGGCCATGATTCGGTCCGAAACTTGGTACTCAGATTCTTCGACCATTTGAATGAATCTGTTATCAAAGTCCGAGATATTTTCATCTGAGTGCATACACATGGAGATTAATTCCTTGGTAGCAAGGACACGCATCTGACGATTGCCAAATTTCTTTTCAAGGACTTTCTTGGCTTCGGCCCAAGAGTCACAGACAAGGAGTTCTTTTCTCATCCAAGCTTTCAAGACGTCGGCGAGTGAAACAGTAATTAACTTTTTCCACGTAGTCTTAACGTTTTGATTCGCTGACAATACGACTTCCTCAAAAGTCTTGATGAAATCATCAATGGACTTAAAAACTCTCTCACCACGAAATTGTGCATAAGTCTTTCCAGTAATTTGGAGACGAGGCAGATCTGTACGATTTAATGATAAACCTTCATTTGAGGCTGGGTTCGTAGCGTACTTTGATGCTTCGGTACCTTTAATCCCGATGGATGGTACAGGCTTAGAAGTAGAGGCTAAAGATTGGATGATGGAATTCTTTTTCTCAATCTCAAGGGACATTTCATAGGCACGATCATGATCCTCTTTAGATACATAACCGCTAGAAAGAATAGCTACCATGGCTTCCGTAGTAGCTTCACGTTGCTTAAGTAAATTATTAATGATACTAGTGGGGCTTTGTAAAGTTACAGCCGTAATAGGATCAGCTAAAGGCATGTCAGTGTCTAAATCGACTTCCTGATTATCCTGCTCAAGTGGAATACGGGCGATGTCTTCATCTATTTCCCTATGTACACGTTCATCTTGTGCAGCTTGCCATTCAGCAGAGGCTTGCTCATTCAAGGGAGTGTTTAAAGTAGCGTCAGGAGTACCAGCAGACATTTCCTTGTTAGATGAACCAGAAGCGAGTTGGTCATAGGCACTAGGGCCGGAAGGAGAACCAGAAGTAGTCATAGTAGTGGATAGTAGTTGGAAGTAAAAAGTTTACAAGGAGGTAATCTTAAAAAATGTGGAAAAACGGTTTGTTTGACACGGAAAAATAAAAGATAAAAAAACAGGAAGAATAAGATTAATATTGCTTGTAGGCTTTTTTATTCTTATTAAAAGTGAATCCCTCTTTCATCTCTGAAAGAAAGGGGGGTATTTATAGTTATTTAAAGCGTGGGTAAAATTATGGGCTCGTTTGTGTTCACTTGGTATTATTGGCTGTATTTACTAATGACTGATGAGCCTTATCAGTGTAGCCAATCTATTATTCGAAATGGGATCTTCTATTGGAATATCTAGTAACCCTGAGTTGTAAATGTATAACTCAGGACATTTTTTATGCTATTATTTTTTATGAGTGTTATGATATTATGTACCTGTCGATCAAGGATCGATGGAATGATTTTATATGCGATTTTATATGTTAAATAGTGCGATTTTAGTACAGTTGGGACCACATACAGTAGTCAAGCAATCCCATCAACTGAACGATACATGGACCGGACATTGTCTGAATTTATGCCTTTGAACGAGCCGCTAAAATCAGAAGGGCTATTGCAGCGCGAATCATCCATACACTTTCTTATTTTTTCAAAGTCGACAGGGGTAATATGAAAGGGATAATTTGAATCAATGCGAACAAATTGGTGCGAGGAATTTGTGTGTAAGCTATTTGGGGTGTAATTTTCGTTTAAATATATATTCCGTGGGGTGTAATAAGCCACTAATGACAGCCAAATTTCAATTTTTTTGCTTTTTCCCCTTTTTCTATTATAACAATAATGTCAGAAAAGACTGTGGTGATCCACCTACTGTTGGTACTAATCACACTATAAAACATTACTAAATCAAATCTCATTTCAACATCCCATACGTTATTACATCACAACATGAACTAATTTCTTATACATTATATCATATCCAACTACAAGCACTATTTTAGTGCTGTGTAACTTATCCATCAAACTAAATTCATGATCCGATTTCTCTTAACATATATAAATATGCAAACTGATAGTTAGGATAGAACCCGCTGAATCTTGGAATCTACTTTTACTATTAATAAAAACTTATAAGCAGTCTCAAAGTACTTTAATGTTTTTCTCTTTTTAAACTCTATTCTCAACTATCACAAAGACTACGTTTAAAATACAATTTCCCCGAGAAATTGCACATGAGATGTCAAAAGCTCACTTCAATGAGTCCAAAAATTCGTTCGAAGACTTTGACTGGTCATAAGCAACCGAAAACTCGTATAATCCCAACAATGGAACACTTTCTAAGCTTATGACATATGACAATCACGAACATGACCGCCGTATTGTAAATTCATGCTTGGGAGCAACTGAATGTCTTAAAAGCAGTTGTCCATTTTATAGCAAGGCAACTAAACCTCTTACCGGAGAGGCTGCTATAAAACAAAGTGAATGTCATTACTGCGACACGCTTTTGAGCTGGATTAAATGTGAAGTAAAAGTAGAGTATCTCTTCAAAGTAAAAGCCAGGACTTGGACCACCATGCGTATGATAAACAAGGATTGCAGAATAAGACACACCCTTGGTGTATACAACTCTAAGCATCTTTCTATGACAGAAAAGTTAGAACTCGATAAAATTTTGGAAAAGAATCCTACCATGACACCCACTACTGCAGTTGCCGGTCGTCAAGATATTTAGTCTATTCAAAATATTAATCCAATTCTTGGAAATAAAGAACGTGCTAGGATTTAGCTGAAAAAGTCAAGAATCAGACAGGGACTTGAAAGCAAAAGCAATGGCGACTTTTTCGAAGAGTTCATTAAAATCGAAAATGATTTTCCTAATTTTATTAACCATGCACAAGTGATGAGTTCTGAATTTTACATTATCTTTTCCTCTCCTGAAATGACAAAATTCAAGTTGCCCTTTGACAAGCACCCCATTGTCGCGGATGGTACTTACAAAGCGGTATCCTCCGGTTATTATCTGGTCTGATCCGTCATCTACGTCGAAGAAATGAAAAAGCATATGGTGTTTTTTCAAGCTGTCATCAAGCACCAAACCGCCGAACAGTTTGCCTTCTACTTCAAGGCGTTGTTTAAGAAGTATGCAATTGTATCAAAGTTCTTTCTTGGTATACTTTTAGATTTCTCTAAAGCTGAGCAACGAGGTTTTCAACAAGCCTGCGAAGAGAATTTCAATATGGACGATAAATCATCTTTGTCATTAATTAAAGGATGTTATTTTTATTGGATGCAATCTGTCCAAAGAATTATGAAAATCCAGAGAATTGTTTCTGCCGATAAATCTAAAGAATTTATTTCTATTGCTAATACGTTGCAAAAAACGACCAGGGAAGAGTCTTAATTGAAACAGGAAGGAGTCTTTTAAAGACGTTGCCAGATTGCCGTAGTTTGTTGCAATGGTGGTTGGATGACCATGTTCGACCTACCAATTTTACGTACGATTCAAATATGTAGCAGAAATTACAAGAGCATTAATCCAGAACTACGAACGGAATTGAATCTTTTCACAGAAACAGTTACCGTTTTGTGGAGTCTGGAATTTCCTTGGGAAAAGCCCTCCTTCAGATTATGAAAGTTACGCAGGTTTATTAAAACGAATTGGCCAACTACTATGAAAATGGAATCAGTCCTGTTAACGGGTTTAAAAAAAGAAAGACTCAAAGCAATAGATTCATAAAAACTTTGTACGAAGCATTTGATAGTAGACCACCAGATAATATTAATGCCATCTACGGTGATAAATCCAGTAGAAATAGTAAGAAGAGAAGTTTGGACAGTGCTGTTGAAGAAAGCACCAACTTTTACGAGATTTTTGGTGTAGATAAAGATGCAAAAAATCACCGTATTGAAGAGAAAAAACAAGATAGACGATGGTATCACGGCTTTCTTTTCGACATATGACGATGATCTTCCGTATGAAATTAATAATCTTCAACATAACGGCGACTACAAAGTCACATCCGATGGAGATTATAACTTTATTGGATAACTTGTCGTATTTGGGTAGGATTCACTTAAGAATAATTATGCAAATCGTTTAAATAAATAAACTATGAAATTAAAACAACCTTTGATGTTGCATATCAGCATACGCTTGTATACTGTTATACAACTTCTCCTACTTCAAGTACATACTTCTATATAAAAAATTGCACGATTGGCCTAAATACGATATACGAATGACAGTTGAATACAGAATGCTATACCACTGAGTTAGGATATCACCGATTGAGAAGAGAATCTTCTCAGATCGAATCAAGAATTATATGAAAGAGAATCTTAATATTAAAAGTTCTCTCAATGGATTAGCTACCCAGTGAGAGAATAGAACAGCTATTAATATCAATGGTTCATTTACTTATATATTGATATATTTATACTGCTGATAAAGAGTATAAAGAAATAGTGTATGAAGTCATGGATAGCTATCCTCTACAACCAAATATACAAATATCGATAAGACATTTTATATTTGGGATCGTAATTTATTCATTACAAAGATAATGAATAAATGATCAACTATTATGTTCTATTGCCAATTACACTTGACAAACAAGTATGCATCTTTTACAGTAACCGTTGCATGATCTGATAAATAAGTGTCTCGTAATACTAAAGATTTATTAGCATACTCATGCTCCCGATCCACTGATATGGGACAACGTTATCTGGAAACAATTCTAACGAGTAGTATCCATTTAATCCAAGGCGGGAAACAAAGTATAGATGTATTCCAAAACCAGAAAGGTTAACTCATCATTAAAACTCAGGAGAGTTGTGTAATATAAAAAGGATAAACTATTTCATAGCAGCAGAGTTCTTTTAGTCTATTTTTACCTCTAATAAAATTATACTTTTATCTCACTACTTTTCCATTGTAATATTAAGGGGTCTCAGTTTGAAAAAAAAAAGTTACCCAAAAAAATGGGAAACTTTTTTTTATCCAATAAAATCGCTTTCCCACTTTTTCAAATTGAGACCCCCATATTTCCCCTGATAACTTTCCCATTTTATAAATGCAAAGAAAAAACCCGAAATATCAAATCATTGCCACATTTAATGATCAAGTATGATTGTATCTATTAGTAATATACGCAATAAAAATTATAAATGTGTATCCGGTAAGTCGTATCAATTTTAGATAAGATAGAAAAGTGGCTAACAAAGGCATAGAATTAATGAGCATGTTTGCAACCAATATAACATCCGTTACTGATGACTCAATTTGATTTCAGGTCAGCGATTGGTTATTTGTGTCTATCTTAAAAGTATAAAAGAAGAAGGTTTGAACCTGGATCAATAATAGACTTCTTTAATACTATTAACATGACCAAGTGTACTACCAAATCCAAGCCTACACCTGTCAAGCCAAACCCAAAGCGAAGAGCTGTCAAGCCATTAAAGACAACTACTAAACCAGAGGAGACACCTTCCAAGCCCAACAAAGCTACCAAAACAAAGAAGGCTCAAGTTAAGTGGGAAACTGATGTAGCAGGCGATGATAATTTGTCATCAGATGCCCGCCTTCTTGTTTTCCTTTTGGATAATAATGCAAAAAACTTGAACCTTCTCACACCAACCAAAAACCAAAAAGGCGCATATAGAGTTCATATGTCCAAGAGAAGATTAGCCCTAAAGTGTTTAGATTATTTTTGTGAGAAAAAGGTAACTTACCGTACGATGGAAGACATTCGTGCACGAATGAAGAAATACATGGTCGATTACAGTAAAGCAAAGGGAGAAACTAAGGATACTGGTTCAAAAGAATTCAAAAGTAAGTTGTAAAAAGTCAAAATGGGTACAGATTAAGTTATTAATATCTCACTAACATTAGAAATGGTTAAAGATGTCTTTCCTTATTATTATGAATTGGAACAGTTTCTTCAAGATCGTCGTGGGGGTCTCGGTGTTCCTGATATTCTAGGTGCCCAGGATTCTGAAGTGGAAGAAACTGTAGAAGATAAAGAGGATGAGAGAAGACATGTTGAGTCTACTCCCAATGAAGTGCCTGTGAGTACCAATGTAGTGGAAACGTTGTCTGACTTCAGTGAAGATAAAGCCACTGTTGCTCCTCCGGTCAAGAAAGCAAAAAGAAGTTCTGGTGCTGCTATCTTCGACCAGGACTTCAAGTCTATTTTGGATGAACCAGTAGATACAACCATCTACAGTGAAATGTTGGAAAAGAAGCAGGAGATGGCCAAGATGAAGATGAAGGTGCAGCAACTGACTGAAACAAGGTTAATTCTTGAAACTTTGTTGAAGTCTGGTTTAGATCCCACTTCATCAATTATTCAAGATCTAATGAAGAAAATCATGGAGTTATTGAATAACGCTGGCACATCTGAACCTGAAGCAGAGTCTTCAAATTTGACTTAAAGATAAAAAAATTATAATTTTTAAAATTGATATACTTCATTCATGTTTATTGGTTGCGTGCTAGTATGTATTGACACACTCCATCTCTTAACTGGATTCCAGTGGGAGAGTCTATGGTGGTGAAAGACATAGTTCCACGGTCCTTCTGTTCTTCTTCCATGTTTCCCATTGCTTTTTCAGTCAACAGAAGTCTTTCCGCCTTTCTTACCAATCTCATATCCTCAGGTTCATCGATCAACATGTTGTGTAAAATTACACAGACTTTGATCCACTGGGAAGCATTGGCCATATTGTCGTTGTTCTGGATTTGTTGACGGAGCATCTTCAAACTTCCAAATCTACACTTCAAGATACCAAAGCAGTGCTCGATGGCAATTCTTGTTCCAGAATGCATCTTGTTGAATCTCTTTTTTTCTGAATCTAATTCTCCATTAGGTGGCCTCTTATATGGGGGGATCATATAATGTGTACATCCATATGCAGAGTCTACAAGGATGTACTCCCCATCGGCGAAATAACGTTCTGGATGAACCCTAATTGTTTCGGTAAATACACGCGAATCGTGAGCTGATCCAAAGATACCTATAGCAAAGTACCTGATTCTTCGCTTATCATCACAAATGGCCAGGTTCTGAATGACAAAGCTTGCCTTTCGAGTATAGAACTCTTGGTTTCTCCACTTGGGTCGAAACTCCAAATCCATTAAAGAGCCATCTACAAACCTAACACAGTTTGGCAAACCAAATCGTTTCTCGTTGGCCTCTATGATTCGTTTTTTTTTGTCTTCCTTCGGCCAACAAATCCACTCTTTCGACATTGACAAAATGGCAGTAGAAAAACGTTTGGTGTACGTCTGGACAGTTCCTACTCCAATTCCACAATGCGTTGCGACGTTCTCCAAACTTGATCCACCTCCAGAAAGACCTAATCGATAAAGAACAACACCAATCTGGAAATGTACACTGCGTTGTTTTCTGGCAGCATCAGAGTCGTTATAGCAAATGTGGTCTTTTACTCTATGGCATATATTATAGAAGGCTTGCTTGGTTGGCATTCTAGTTTCCCTTCTAAATACTCTGTCAGTTTGTAGCATAAGCCACTCGAGATAGTCCCCTTTACGCTTATGAGAATGAACTCGCTTGAAGACATATCTATTCTCATTCAAAAAACGCAATGCTTTCGTATATTTGTGTCGTTTTAACGTTTCTTTGACACTTTTTGCACTAATTGCTTTGGATTCCTCATCGTCACTGTCATCATGAAGAATCTCGGTCAAGTACTTCTCCTCTATACGTAAGCAATCTTTTAGTTTCTCTACAAGTGCCTGTTTATTGCTGATCTTGGGCATTTTGTAACTTTTATTGAAAAAAAAAAATGGGAAAGAATTGTACCTATCGTTTCCCAAAAAAAGGTTGGAAAGTTTTTTGGGAAAGTTGAAAAAGTGGGAAAGCGCTTTGATTGGCTAAAAAAAGTTTCCCAAAAAAGTTTCCCATTTTTTTTTCAAACTGAGACCCCTTATTTTGTCAAATACTACATAACTAAATGTGAATTTAAAAATCAGAATGTTTGGAGGTTTTGTTGTTCGTGATGCTGCTGAAGAAATTATGGGATATGCATCTGATTATGGCAGTGCCCCATTATCCGACGAAAATCTCAAAAATGACGATGATAACATCTCTGTGTGTTCGATAAACCCATTAAACATTCGACGTACTCTTGAAGGTTGAGTTGATGAAGGCTGGCTTGATTTTGAAGAAGTCAAGTTTCGTAAGTTTACTACCTCTCGCAATCTTGATGATAACAGGTTTGTTTCTTCAGTTGGATCGTTGGATTTTGATAACACCTGGCAAGGTTAAGTGGATGACGGCTTGGTTGTTGAAGATGAAACGGTTGCTGTGAAACCTATCAGTAGAAGTAGTGACCCGATCAATAGCATAAAACAAAAGGCAGTCCATAAGACGGCCTCTTCTTCTGTGACTAAGCCTTGTTTAGAGCCTGTAACCAAGCAAAAAATCTGAATGTCAAAAAGCTTAACCATGATTGGTGAAATTGCAAGCCGATTTTACTTCTTCCAGGATTACTTTCTTTGATCATATTGCTGCGAATACTGTACATCCGCCTCGTGCTTCATTGACGCTACTTCTAAATTGCTCTGGAACAATGGTTTTCCTTCCATTAATCTTACCAAGTTGGGAAATAGCAAAAACATATATGACACCATGTTCATGAGCACTTACAACAAATATTGCGCACACAAACATGCCAGAACTATGGAAGAAAAAGTTGCTCTTACCAATGAGGTATCCGCCAATGCAAGAAATTTCGTTTGGTCTTTGGAGAAGTTGGACGGATTGATGCAGTATCCTAAAGGTAAACACGGTGATTGCCTAGAGGTCCTTACCTTTATCATGGGTAAATGCTCGGAGAGGTTCAAGGCAGCCATCTCCCATTTCCCTGGATGCTCAACACTTAGATCACACTTTTTTTTGTTAATGCTGCACATAGTTTTGTTGATCCTAACTCAGAAATGCAACCAGTAATTGAAGTGGGACTTGAAATGAGAACGTCATTTTCTGCTGAACGTACGTTTGCTTCCCATCAAAGTCTTGACGACGAGTTCAGCGCTGTGTTTAAATATGAACACGTTGTCAGAGAGAAAAAGCGTGCTTGTAGATTCGAAGGGTGTACAGGCACAGCCACTTGCCAGAATACTGTAAGCTTACAAGACTTCCCGCCCTTTCTATTATTGGGAAATGCAAGAGAAGCTGGTATCGCATTGGAAACGACTAACTTTCCAAGTATCCTACAAATATCCGAAAAACTGAATTACGAAATCAAAGGTCGTGTGTACTCGTCTTCGTATGATGGCTCCCACTTTTACACCGTTTGCTACAAAACAATTGGGTGCATACCCTATCCTGTAAGAATTAACAATATTAAAATGAAAATAGTCATAATCACTGCAGACAAGCAAAAAGTCAGAGACATCCTGAAAACTATAAAAACAACGTCTTTGCCTGCTACAAAAAGCTATAAAATCAGAAACAAAAAATACAAAACCTTTTAGAATAAAAAAACATGTCAAAAATGTTTTACTTCGTAAGTTTATGTATTTTCTTTTATCAGTTTGCTATGTAATTGAAGACATATCAACTATAATATTATAATTAAAAAAAAATTGAAGTCTTTTTAAACAACTTTATCAGTGACCATCAAGCTTATTTAGTTCTAAAATACTATTATACCGAGGATTACACCCTCTTTACCCGCACACCCAACAAACAATAACCTGACGTTGTATCTGGAGGAGAGTAGATTAAAGCAGATTTTGCTGACGTTGGACAACTTTTGCAGCTCATTACAGAAGGAGAAATCAACTCCCAAAAAGGTGTCAAGTTGACCAAAAGGAGATGCCTTTCTTATCCCATATGTTTTAAGAGGATCGGGCTTTTAGATACAGTAAAATATAAGTACAACTTAGAAAAAAATATAAAACGCGAGAGCTTACATGTAATAGAGATTCCTTGCTTCTAATAGGAGCATTCCTTTTGATAAAATACATGCTGCTTTTTTCGTCTTCAACAGGATGAACACCTTCCACTAATTGGATATAGGAGACGCATTAGTTTCGTATATCGTAAACATAGGAGTTCAACAAATACCCCAACAAAATCTACATCCATAAAACCCTGTATGGCCCCCAAACATCAACAGCAGTTAGTTGATTTCAACGCCATCCGCAATAACCCCGAAACAAAATACGTTAGGCTGCTCACATCGAACAAAATATATTGAGATCTTAAATAGGAGATGTACTAATATGGACAAGCTCCGTTTTTTTTTTTTTTTTTTTTAAATTTTTTTTTTTTTCCTAAATTGAATTCTGTGAAAATATTTTTTTATTAATTTACTGATTGAAAATAAAAATTTTGTGGGCATCGAATTTAAAGCCTTCAGAAATAAACGGTCCTAAAATGGACTACTAAAATGCCAAAAAACAGAATAAAATTTTTATTACTTTTTCCTTACCTTAACTTTTTCTAAAATGAACAACCAAAACAACAACAACAACCCTATCAATTTCCAATTGATTGAAGTGACACCTAATGGTGTAACCTCTGGTAGCAACCGCTCGCATGCTACTACTGTCTCAGAAGAATAAGAGGTTTATGTCGTCGTTCCTGCTGCTGCCCCTGTTGCCCCTGCTGTACCAGCTGCACCTGCTACTGCCACTACTACTGCCACTGCTGATGCCACTGCTGATGCCACGGATGCTGCTGCCACTGATGATGTTTCATATACGAGCTACACTCGCTCCAACTAGAATTCTGCCAGCACCTTTGCTCTGATTGAGTTGTATGCTAATTACAACAACCGGTTGGAGTCCACTCGTACTTTAGCTGAACGAAATGAGTTGTACCTGTCGTATTTGGGTAAGATTCACTTAAGAATAATTAAGCAAATCGTTTAAATAAATAAACTATGAAGTTAAAACAACCCTTGATGTTGCATATCAGCATACATTTGTATACTGCTATACAACTTCTCCTACTTCGAGTACATACTTCTATATTAAAGATTGCATGATTGGCCTAAATACGATATACGAATGACAGTTTGATACAGAATGCTATACCACTGAGTTACGATATCACCGATCGAGAAGAGAAACTTCCCAGATCAATCAAGAATTATAAGAAAGAGAAACTTAATATTAATAGTTCTCTCAATGGATTAGCTACCCAGTGAGAGAATAGAACAGCTATTAATATAAATGGTTCATTTACTTATATACTGATATAGTTATACTGCTGATAAAGAGTATAAAGAAATAGTGTATGAATTAATGGATACCTAGCTTCTACAATCAAATATACAAATATCGATAAGGCATTTTATATTTGGGATCGTAATTTATTCATTACAAAGATAATGAATAAATGATCAACTATTATGTTCTATTGCCAATTACACTTGACAAACAAGTATGCATCTCTTACAGTAACCGTTGCATGATCTGATAAATAAGTGTCTCGTAACACTAAAGATTTATTAGAATACTCTTGCTCCCGATCCACTGATATGAGGCAACGTTGTCTGGAAACACTTCTAACGAGTAGTATCCATTTAATCCAAGGCGGGAAACAAGGTATAGATCTATTCCAAAACCAGAAAGGTTGACTCATCATTAAAATTCAGGAGAGTTGTTCAATATAAAAAGGACCAATAATTTCATAGCAGCAGAGTTCTTTTAGCCTATTTTTACCTCTAATAAAATTGTACTTTTATCTCATTACTTTTCTATGTAATATTCTGTCAAATACCACAAAACTATCATCATGTCCACCAAAAACGTTCTTCATTTAGACTCTCTCATCAGTCATTGCATGCAATTAGATTAGGAAGGTCACTAAATACTGAAATCCTAAACGTAATGAAATCACCGTGTTTGTGATATGTTTTTTGGAAAAAATGTTTGTAGTCGCAACGTATCAACGGTCTAGAACCGTTCCATTTTAAAATCTTATTTTCTAGCTACAGTTAAACGCTTATATAAATCAACTCCAACTTTTAAGCCATTAACCAGACGGTCCTTGTTCTATGGCACCCTATACCCAATTTATATTAAATCTTCGATTGTCGTTCGTAGTATAAAATTTCTTGTTTTTTTTAAAAAAAAAAGGTTTATTACAATCTCGAACGGCCAGGAGGACGAGTGAAGAAAGATTTTCTTCTTTCTTTCGGCTCTGAAAAGGCTATAATGGTTAATTAGTAACATGGTTTAAAAGTATTTTAAAGATGAAGATACATACCTGTTTTGCCCAATGGGTCCCTAAATTTCTCATACCTTAAGTTCCACCAAGGGAACACAGGCTCAACGAGAGGGAAGCAAGAAGAAAAAGGCACTGGCACAGGGGAGGAAGCAACACTGGCTGCAGAGGCAGCAGGAGCATCAGAAACCACCGGCGAAGAGGAAGAAGAAGCGATAGCTACAGAGGCAACCGCAGCAGCAGAAAACACAGACGAAGGGGTAGCAGCAACTGTGGCCACAGACGCAGCAGAAAAAGCCGAAGACACCGCAGAAGGCGAAGAAGCCACAACAGCAGAGACAGAAGAAGAAAGAGCTGGAGGAGGCAGCGAAAACGTGTCCTCAGCAGGAAGAGAGCCGACCCGTCGACGAGGTGAGAAAGGGGGAGAAGGAGAACGAGATCTTCTTTTTGCTCCTACCTGTGTATCCTCAATAGCAGACGAGGAGGCAACAGGTGACCAATCCGGAGTCTTCGGAAGTAAAGACATTCCTACAGGCAAGGTAGCAGCATCCACTAATTCCCGGAAGGTGGGAGGCGGGCGAAAAACAGGCGAAGCGAGATTACCCTTTCTGAGGAGAGGAGAGAGCGATGGAGAGCGCAATTCCTCGGAAGGCGCACCAGCAGAAGAGAGACGGAGAGAAGGCCGAGGGAAAAAAGCGGGCGATGCCAAATTCACCGAGGAAGGCTGGAGTGATTCCAACTCCTCCAATACCAATCCTTCAGCCGAGACGGGAGAGAAGGAGGGAGGTGCCACAACGGGAGAGGCAAGAGCAGAGAAAGGATGCACCAGAGAAGGTGAGAGAGAACCTACATCTGGCCATTCCAGACCCACGTCCAAACAGGGAGAAGGAGGAGGTACTTCCAAACAACCGAAACCGACCGACGGACCACCAACGACGGAAGGAGAAGCGTTATCCCCAATGGGGGAAAAAACCGCTGGATCAATGTCATCTTCCAGGGAAGAAGTCACCAAAAAGGAAGCAATACTCTCCATCAAAGAAGGCTCGCAGGGGATCACGTTATCCCCCGAAGGGAAAGAAACCGCGAAGGAAGCGTTATCTCCAGTAGGAGAAGAAACCGCTACTACAGCGTTATCCCCCGAAGGGAAAGAAACCGCTGGGGACGCGTTATCCCCCGAAGGGGAAGAAACCGCGAAGGAAGCGTTATCTCCAGGAGGAGAAGAAACCGCTACCACAGCGTTATCCCCCGAAGGGAAAGAAACCGCTGGGAATGCGTTATCCCCCGAAGGGAAAGAAACCGCAAGGGAAGGGCAGTCACCGAGAGGGGACACCAACGAAGAGACAGAAGCCGCGGAATCCTCACGACGGCACAGAGGAGTAATGGCCTCACAACGAGGGTCCAAACCAACAGCAGAAGAACCACGAGCAGGTCCCAAAGCTACTTCTTTTTGCCACACGGCACAAACCAAAGACAAAGAAGGGGCAAAAGGATTCTGGCGTGGGAGAGGACATCGCTCCGGAACCAAACCATCACTCAGACAAGGAAGTCCTGCCACACAAGCACAATCCAAGCTATAACAACGTCTTGGTTTCTGGGTAACTTGAGGGCGAGGAGAAGCCAAGAAAGAAGGGCAACAACTGATGGTGGCAGGAGTCGAAGAAGCCGGAGGGGCCAGGCGAACAGGAAGGGGAGGAGAGGACAAAGAAACAACAGATGCTTCGGTGATGGCGGTGATGGGCTGAATGCCATGCTCACCAAGGACAAAGATCTCACCAATTGGCACCGGTGGATTTCGGTGTCGTGGCCGACCAGCATTGACTAAGAGCCAAACAGGAGACACGAGAGCAGTCATACATTCCCGAAGGAAAAAAAGAACAATTTTTCCCCAGAACCGAGAAAAAGCGGACAGAAAGAACACCAGAAGTGTTAATTGACCCATTAAGCTATTCAATGACAACATTAGAGTCTTGTTTGAAGTTTGTGTGATCTCTGATTTTGATATACTTACTTTTCAAAAAAAACGAACGCGTTCATGGTTTTTTTCGGAATGGTTTGGAGAAGAAGAAAAAAAAAACTGAAACGCCCCAGTTTTTTTAAGAAAAATAAAACATTTTTACTGCGCCGCGGAAAATAGTGACGTCTTATTTTTTTTATTCAATAACATAATTTTAATATTCTTTTTTAAGATAACGTCACAGTAGCCTAAAAAAAAATTGGATTACTTAAAATGTAAGATCTTCGATATTAACCGTGCTGACTAATGAACTATAGATCCTTTAATTTTTACGTTAAGGGAACCTTTCTTAATTCTTCTGACTGAAACTGTTCATGTTCATAGTAGAATGGAAATGGACAAGACCAACTTTTTGCAGATTCCTTAATTCTCCTGACTGGATCTGATCATGGTAAAGTCTAAATGTAAATAGACAAAATCACCCTTTTGTACAGTCGCTATCGTTTCAAGTTTCATGAAAAACGAATGTATAAGTCTGAAAATTATTGGCCTGAAATATTGTTGTTGGATCAATGCGACAATTGTTTTGTAAATCCTTTACTAATTTCGGCAATTGACATTTCGTTTGGAACGTCGAAAAGCTACCACTGCTACTTTAATAAAATACTCAAGAAGGGACAAGAAATGTGGAATCATTCACAATTTCAGCTTACTTTTAGCAGGTACAAGAGCATAAGAAAAGGTGCGAAGGTGACGGGAAAACAGAAAGCACCGTTTATTGAGATGATCACATGTAATGTCTTCTTAAACTGCGTATACTCTATGGGCGGATTTACGTTACAATAAGCTAAGAAACGGGTCCTTCATATTTTGTAACACCATCCATTTAAATCATTCGAAATAGTGGTGTTGTTAGCGAATGAAGTACAGTCTCACCAACTTAATTTACGAAAAGTTTATTTTTTTTATAATGCCGAAAATCGTGATTGATTTAACTTTTGATACCATGTATACGGATCCAGTCGAATCATCATGAAGAAAGGTTAAGTCGTGGTCTGAGATCGTAATTTAATAAAGCAAATAAAAAAACGTTTTAGAACTTTTTCCGTCCTCCTTTCGTGTCAATGACCACTTGGCATCGGTCCTTCATACTGCCAACAAGCCTACTCTCAAGATTGAAGCCTATTTGTTTCAGGTCTGTTGTAAAGCCTCTTCCAGCTCACGGATATTATTAACACGATCCATCTTATCACTGATAAGGGACTCGAGGGAGCTTCAAGCATGTTCCAGGGGACTTTGTTTGGGATGGAGATAAAAATTAAATTAAGGTAACAAAAGAAAATACTGTTAGAACTGTGTATATCTTTTATTTCGAGAAAATTTATATTAGGGAATTCTACTAGCAAAAACTACAGGTATTTATACTAAATGATTAGATGGCTTTCGGATAATATATGTGACGCGTTAGAGGAATATGATGTAATGTTATACGTAATGTCTGTTTAAATAAATATGTTATGAAGTAATTCCTGCCTTACAAAGTAAAGACAAAAGTACGTGAGGATCTAAATTCATTTCCGCAGGTGACATTACGTAAATGCCAAAGAGAAAGTTTAGTGCGTGTAATATTCAGTAACCGAATATTCCGCCTATGGGATTGTACTATACTTTTATGGTATTATAATATTTTACTCGTCACAAGGCAAATCACCTTGTGCACAGACACCAACGGTTCTGATGATAACAAATGGGGCGAAGTGTGAGCCATGAATATTTATACATGATCATCCATTATTATGTAAAATGTGATCATTCTTTTATTATAATCTATGACATCCTCAACAATTGCCTTTATGATTGGATTGATTCGTAAACAATGAGCTAGTCTTATTGTTCTGTCAGAATTGAGAGGACGATGGTTCTAAGAAATCTTAAGTCAAACTGAGTTCTAAAGTAGTAACTCAGTTTTTATACCTGATGTTCTTTTCTTTTGTGATATTGTATTTGGTATATGAGTCGATCATGTGGGATCGACGATTTATTTATTTATTTTATTATTTATAAGTGCGATTTTAGCACAGTATTAATACGTCCCAGAACGAAGAATTTAAAAACTTTCAAGATTCTTCTAATAATGCCACTCGACGTAGCCCTAAATTCAGAAAGTAAATTGGGCGGTTTGAATCGGCGATAAAAAAAAATTAATCTCCTACTGGAGGAGGGTTATGTCGTATTTGAGAAGATATAAACACTTGATATGTATAATCTTCTCTCTTAAACAGATATCCATATGAGATTAAATCTCAGTACAATCATAATTGTACTGATGATGTCCATCTCGAGATCGTACAGTCACTATATTAAGAATCCGCAATAATTACAAAGAAGCTATCCCGGTCAATTAAGATCCTTCTTCGCTTTTTATCAAATTAATAAAGATCCTTTATTTGTATCTCATCGACTTTATAAGACTTTATTTAAAATTAACTAGTGAATACCGCTTTTGCCACAGCATCTAAAAATGGCAAAGAACGCATCATAAAATGGGTTAATTGCTATTTGGAAGAAATTGGCGTTGGTAAGGGTTTAGAATAAAGCGTATATGACATTTAGCTCACAACTAATTTTGACAGGTCACAAAACGCTCTTAACCCAATTTCGATCGAGCAAGAAAGAACTTGCTGTATTTTGCCCTGTTGAAACAGATAAGTATGACATGTGCTTAAAGGGATGTCAGATGTTTTATCCAGGAGATAATAGCCGAGCATGTAGTAATCCTAAATGCCAGGAGGATCGCTATGATGATGTAGGAAGACCAAAAGCGCAAATCGAGCAACTTTCTCTTGCTAAGCAGTTGGCGCATCTTCTTAAGACACCTCAATTCAGATCGGACATCTCTTATAAATTGACAAGACATACTGCCTTTTTTTCTAACAAATCAGGTAGTAACTATGCTTTTTTGGAAGATATTTTCGACGGAACAGCTAAAGATAAATGGGACGGTCATAATGAAGAGTGTCCCACAAGTGATTACAAATTGGATCTGGCGATGTATACTGATGGATTTAATCCTTTTAAAAGGGGCGGTGTAAGCATGACTGTAGTAGCATTTGTCATTTAAAATCTATCACCTGAGCTACGGTTAGTGTCTTTAATGTTTTGCAATGTAAATATACAAAAACTACACATATGTTTTTTCTACCAGATTCAAAAAAAAGAATATCTTGATTACCACAATCATACCAGGTCCCAAAAAACCGTAGAATATGCATAGTTTTCTTTTTCCACCATATCAAGAGCTTATAAAATTAGAAAAAAATGGAATGCTAGTGAAGTTTAGTAGTGGCGAACAGAAGCTTCTTACTGCATCTCTCGTGGTAGCTATTGGTGATATCCCAGCATGTGCTGATCTTTGTGGTCATATTGGCCATCAAGCTTATTTTGGATGCCGCATATGTCGAACCGAAGCTATACGGGTTAAAGCAAGTATGTGCTATCCCTTTCCACAAGGTGTCATTTCTACAGAATTAATTAGAAAACCCGAAGATTTTATTCAAGGAGACGAAGTAAGTTTTTGTAGAGTCTTCTTTTTTTAAAAAAAGTCATTAATTTGTTGGTATTAGAAAAATGGCATTGTTCGAAAATCACCACTTTCCCTTTTAAATAGCTTCCACGGCCCAATTTTTTGGGGGTTAGACGAGATGCATTTCTGGGGAGCAAACGTTGGCGGCAAAATATGGGCAATTATTACTGATGATGGTCAAAAATATCAAGATGCAAGCAACCCTCTGTTCCTTCGCGTTAAGTATCGAGAGCTTATATCTGCAAAAATGCAACAGGCCCAACAAAACAAGCACAGCTGTAGTATTAGCGGAGCTTTCTTGGGTAGGAAATGTCAAAACATAACACAAGACAAATTTATTTAACTTAAGCCATTTTTTTTAAAAAAATAGATGTCCACAAAAAGTCCGGTTTTTTTCGCAGTGTAGACTGGATTGATTTTATTGTGTTTATATTGCCAACTCTTGTGGTAGAAGCTCTTCAACTTCAAAAAAGAGATGTTATTCGAAAAGAAACAGCTTCCAAATCAACATCAAGCATGTCATTGGATCAATTACATGTCTACGAGACTGCTACTGATAATGCATGCAGAGCAATTGTTTCTCTTTCTAATGTCTGTAAAATAACGCAGAAATACAGCATATCAGAAATCGATTTAGTAGATTTAAACTGGTAAGTTCATAAAAAATCAGTGTAAACTATTACTAATACAAACGTAAATTAAACATTTATCATAGTTGCATTAAAGAATGGCAAGAGTTTTTGGTGGCAAACTTCCGCCCCAATGTATTCACAGTCAACATGCACTATATTAATCACCTAAGTGATGCTATCGCTAATTTAGGACCTATGCGTTTAATAAGTGCAAGGCCACTTGAAAGACTGATTGGAAGTATCAAATCTTCAATCAAATCACGCCAAAAGCCAAGCGAAAACGCAAGTAATTGCGTCAAATCTGATTTCGCTGCTGTTTACAAAGCAAACTGGTTTCCTACAAACAGCAATTCAATTGTTTATGGAAAAGAATTAACGAAACAGAATTGCATAAATCTTGTTAAACGATTTTATGAATGTTCTGAGCAAGAGGCGGCAGCTATAGAAAATGCACTCAATCTAAACGAGGAAGCTCAAACAGTGGAAAGCTACTTCCCAATCAGAAGCGGTAAAACGTTGAAGCTCGCGGGGAAACCATCAAGCAAGGGGACTTTCGTAGTCTACTGTACACAGGCCGATGACAGTAGGACCCTGTACAGGTGTATCGAAAGAACAGCACAGCTGAAGTATGGACAAGTGCTGTTCATGTACTGTAATGAAGGGTCGCACTTTGCCTTGGTCAAGACAGTCTTCCCTGTAAAGTACAATGCAGAACAAGACTGTCATTACTATTTGAAGAACGACGATCTGAACCATGCATTTGAAGTCGTCATGCTCTCACAAGTCGTTTCTTATGGCATAGAAATTGGATCATTGTCGTGATCGAGGCTATATACTTAATATATGACTCTATCTACACTTCTTA